TTTTATACTACTAGTAGAGGTCATCTGAGATCGGTGTGTCACAAATGAAATGCCCGAGTGTTCCAAAATCATGCGTCGATGCCAACAATCATTTTTGCCAAGAGTCGGAAAGCAACGGAAAGATCGGCCCCTTACGTAATCTGCGTATAACAAATCTCTCGCGGCCTCTGAATTCAATTGGATGGCCCCCCTTCCTAATTTCCTCCAAAAAAACTTAAGAATCTCCAATGGCAACCCGCAGATTTCCTCCCGCATCCATCCACGGATACGAATGCGGGAGGCCTCCATCCAACGTTGTCCGCATATATTTCAATCCGTATTTAGACAAACCGAATGAAATTCATGCAAACCGACTAATATTCATTAAAGTTCGGATAGAAAATAGCACAAATCACTCATACATAGCATGCAAATTAAGCCTGGTACAACAATGTCTCAAATTCGACTAGATTCCGTATGTCCAACAAGTTTTTCATCAACGGATCATGTTGTTCCACACATACTTTCCCTTCAGCTTCATCCAACATTGTGTGCACGTAAATGACCGTCCCTTCGTATTGTGGTGCACCACGCAGTGCGTGCGGGCTACATATAATGCGTAGACCAAACCAACATTGAGTGAATGAATCAATCAATAAGTTGAGCAAGAGGAAGCAAAAGTTACGTCTCGTCCTCTGCCCCGTGCAATGGTCACATTGTCTCGAGCTGACGAACCACGTCACAAAACATGATGACGTTGGTCTGGATAGTGTACCAACAATACGATAACGAACTCACGTTTGAGCTGTTGAATGATGAACATGTTGTAGGTTGCAATGTGATTTTGTGCACGAAACTTTTCATGCACTTGCTGCCATAAGGTCACCCCTCTTCTCCTGCCTACGAATTCCGCGGATACGGCCAACCACGCATCGCACAACAACTCATCCTCCATGATCGAGTAGCTCACCATCCTTCGTACTCTAAAAAACTACATAACATTTGAAAAAAAATCAATGGCATTTGACCAAACACCTGTCGTGCGTGGTGTTCGCCATGGAGGTCGTCGACGGCGGGGCGGAGCGTATCTGGGTAGAAACGACTTCAATGTGGACAACTCCGTTGTAAAGGCGAGCGGGCGCGTCGGTGCTGGTTGCGGACGTCCGACAATGCCTCTATGACGGCCGGAGACGTACAATAATGACGGCGGAGGTCGAGGGTGCGGATACAAAGTAAGGAGGAGAAGGGGCAAAGTGAAAGGAAATGGGACTGAGAGGGAGGATTGGGTGGGCCGTGGGTGTCACAATCCTACGTACTGTCCGGACTCCCGCAAATCTCCTCTTATTTTGTCTCCCATTTGCAGGAGAAAATACGTCCAGACCGCGGCGCGGACCGACACATACCCATGTTGAATGACTTTCACGATCCGAACGCATGCGGGCGGTTTGCGTATCCACGTTAAAGATGCCCTTGCATAGATGTAGCATTGCTCCCCCGTATATCCTCCCCTGGCTCTTCCGGAAATGTGGCAGAGATTCTATCCTCGTTTAAAGAAAAACTCTCACAATATGTTTGAAGAAAAATATTACTACTACTGTAGTACTGTGGTGAATTTTAACCATTGTATACCACTCCACTAATCCCACTCGCCAAACGTTCTCAACTGACGAATCGAATGCCCTTCATGGATGGCAATTAACATCCATTAACTGCACTAAAAGAAAAAATATTCTTGCTGCAATGAAGTAGACCCTCTAATGAAAAATCAATGCTGGTGTGCAGAACTGGAAACGCGCGATGTGACTTGGTCAGTGGTGCATGAAGACGAAGGATCGCATGGCTAGCAAGCATGGAGGAAATATTTCCTTAAAATAGTTGGGTGGGTCTCTTAGCCTGTCACATTTTTAATTCCCGGAAAAAATGCACGTACTAAAGTAGCTAAACTTGTACCTTCGCCGCATAATCTCTACTAGCTCGTTGCCAAAAAAATAAAAATAAAAAAGTCATGTACTTGGGCAGAGACTGCGTGAACGATTGTCCATCTGGTGCACTGAGCAGAGCTGTTGGAGTCGCCACACGGGCAAGTCTCTGCTCTCCTTTTCCTCGTCTGGATTAGCCAACAGCCAAGTGTCATATCTGTCTCTTTCTACTCTTTATTTTATTTATAGCAAGGGAGAGCAGTTTAGCCCACTTGCTCCTTGCACTTTTGTTTGGCGGGCATGTAAAAAAGTACTCCCTCCGTAAACTAATATAAGAGCATTTAGAACACTACTTTAGTAATCTAAACGCTCTTATATTAGTTTACAGAGGGAGTAGATAGTTTTTTTAAGTCGGCCTCTAAGAATCTTGATTCATTAGAAAAGAAGAGGATTGCTCGATTAATTAATGAAAAACCAGTCCCGTAATTTTTTGTAATGAAAAACCAGGCTAAAACCGTCTCCGTAGCCCAAAGAAGGCAACACCGGGCAACGTGGACACCCACGCGAAGATACAACAATGCTGTAGAGAAGAAGCACAAAACCAAGGTCGTCACCAAGCCGAGTAGATAGCTTCTTTTGTACTCCCTTAGAATGTTTCTTCTTAAGCCTCTCTACAAATTCCCTCATTACCATAGAGTGGCCAGCGGAACTAAAGAAAGACAATGTCATTGTTGTCGAAGTATAAAAAGAAACACTGGTTGATAAAACGGTTACCTTTTGCAAAAATGATATTCTAAATGCTCAGCATCCAACATGTTGGCCAACTTTGAGGTTACGTGATGAAACAAAGAACTCAAGTCCACTTGAGAAAACATTATTTTCAACCCCAAAAAATATATAATAGCCAATTTCAACTAAAAAACTATATGAACGCTTCATGGCAAGTCAAGCTCATAAATTTAAGATATTTCGACACGAAAAGAGACCAATATCATTCACTCGTGCGCGAGGGCTGGTTTTGCGCGCCCACCATCACATGCTGGTTATGTTTTTCACGTGTTATGTCTATATGTAATTGGTTTCTTCTAGTTTATCGCAGGCAACACGGATTGAGTGAAGTAAATGTGTTGGGTTTTTATTTTGTTTGATTTTCTTCCCGCGTGTTGTAATTTGGACTTTTGGTAAACAATGATGTGGCTTTGTTAGCAGTGGGGTGTCTTTTGGTCTATGTTTCCTTAAGTTTGCACTGGATAATCAAGTACTTTTTGTTCGGTATTCACGATACCGTAGAACTGGACCTTAAAAGCCTTGGAGAAAAAAGATTGCGCACAAGATACCAAGTTTTTACCATTACATCATCAAAACTGTAGTGACACACTTAAGATAAGTAGATAACTCCCATCTTCGAACTACCATCCTTAGTATCATACCTAGTTTTCACGTTAGAATGATTCTTCTTAGCCTCTCTACAAATCCCGCCGTTCCCAGGAGTGCAACCAAAACTGAAGAAAGACAATGCCATTGTTGTCTAAGTACAAGAAGAAACACCGGTTGACAAAAGCACTTACTTTTCGCAAAAAGGATATTCTAACTGTTTAGCATCCAACTGGTTGGTGAGCTTTTGAGGTTACGTGAACGAAAACATTCAACTCCACTTGAGGAAACATTATTTTTTACCCCCAAAACCAAAAAAAGCTTTCAACTATAAAAACTACGTAAAATCAACGTGCAACATTTTCATGGCAAGTTAAACTCAGAAATCCAAATCATTTCAACACAAAAAGAGACCAATAACATTCACTCGTGTGCGTGCACGAGTATTACGTTGCGGTTTCTTCTAGTCTATTGTAGGTAACACGGATTGAGTGAAGTAAACGTGTCGGGCTTTCAGTTTTGTTTTTTTGTTTTGTTTTGTCTGCTTTACTTCTGTTGTCTGGCAATTTGGACTTTCCGTAAACAATAATGTGGGTTTGCTAGCAGTAGGGTGTCTTTTGTTCTACGTTTCCTTATGTTTGCGCCGGGTGATCAAGTACTTTTTGTTTAGATTCACGATACCACGAAAAGTGGACCTAAAAAGCCGTAGAAAAAAAAATGAGAAGGTGCATAGTATAAGTTCTTAGCGTTGCATCATCAAAATTGTACTGACACACTCAAGATAACTCTTTTCTTCGAGCTACCATCGCCAGTATCATAATTAGTTTCCACTTTATCATAACAAGTTCTTTTGTCGTTCTCGTGAGATAGCGGAACCCAACCTAAAGTCGTAGGAACAAAAAGATGACGCAAAGTGTACCGAGTCGTAGAGTTATGCCAAAAAGTATTTTTTTTCAAAGTTTCATCGTCAAAATTGTAAATAGCATAAACGGCCCCTAAAAAAGAAACCACGTAACACAAATAGACATGCGAGCATTTTAAAATGCGCAACAAGACTAGCGTGTCATGTAAGGCAGGTTCTATCCCAATTAGTAGCACAAAATTCAAAGGGGGAGAGATGGTAGTGGTAGTTGTAGTAGCAGCAATGGGTGGGTGTATTTTTTTTTTGAGGGAACAATGGATGGATGGATTACCCAAAGCCGAAACAGAAAGGATGGATCCCAGATCTGGTGCGGTTAAAATCCATGCGGCGGGTAGAAAGATCGTCTATATCTGTTGGTAAAAAAATTAAAAAGTAAGAAAAATAATACGGTGGTACGCTCGTCCCCTCCGGTCAGTCGTCCAATCCAACCAGCAGTGCGGAGGAAGGGGAAGAGCTGAGGGAGCAGGGAGGAGGGGGGAGGATGGCCAAGCCAGCCAAGGGGAAGGAAGGGAAGCCCTGCGCCGAGTCAATTGGGTATATAAACCCACCATCGCCTCCCTCCTCTCCCCTCTTTTGCATGCCTCACCGGCCTCCTCCCCTCCCCTCCGCCCCATCCGCCTCCCAATGCACCACTGCTAACCCCTGCTCCCGATCCCCGTTCCCGATCCGCGGATTCCCCGCCGACCCCGCCCGCCCCCGCCCCCTCCTCTTGCAATCTCCGATCGGATTCTCTCTTCTCTTCTTCTCCTCCGCCTCCGCCTCCTCTCCGTTCTGGTTCCGTCGGGCGTTTGGTGTTTGATCTGGCGATGAAGGGCCCGGCGGCGGCGGCGCAGGCGGCGGCGGACGAGCGCCCCGAGGAGAAAGAGATGGACTTGCTCCTCAGCGAGATCCCCCAGGTCACCTCCCCGCAGGCGCACCGGGCCGGCGGCGGCGGCGCGCTCTCCCAGGGCCATGGCGGCGGCGACCGCCGTCACGGGTTCGCGCCGCCGCGCTACGCCGCGTCGCCCCGCCGCGCCGACAACGCCTGCTACGCCGTCGTCGTCAACCGCCGCGACGACGGTGATCACCAGGGCGGCGGGGGCGGGGGCGCGTACCACCCGCCGCTCCGCGTGTGCCCGGCGCCCCTGCATCCGTCGAGCCCCTTCGTCGCCGCCGCGCCGTCCCCGCTCGGGCAGCCCGTAGACGACCCGGAGAAGCAGTGGCTGGCCAACCAGCTCCGCGGCCTGCTCGTCGAGGACGCGCCCGCCGCGCCCCAGCCCACGCCCGTCGGCAACGGCGCCCCGGCGGACTTCTCTGCGGCGCGTGGCGCCGCCTACTATGGCTACCCCTTTGGGGCGCCGGGCTCCTCGGTTCCTGGCGAGCCCCTGGTGAACGAGCAGGCCATGGCGGCCGGCTACCGCTTCGCGCTCGGACCGGACGTCGGCCTGGGCGGCCACCCCGGCGGCCTGGAGGTCAACATGAACGGCTTCATGTACAATAGGACAGCAAACGGCACCGGCATTGGTTGGGGACAGGGCCTGGTGCACCCTGCTCATGCTCACCCCGAGCCTTTCATGCTTCATGGGCAGGCTGCCGCAGAACAGCACAACTGGGGGTTTGTTGGGACTGGCCCGATTGCCCTTGATCCCCGTGGTGGAGCAGCCCGTTCACCCAAACTGCACTGCGAGTACGGCGTGCCTGTGCATACCGGCAATCGCTACATGAAAGGCGGCATGAATAATCAGATGGAGGCGTTTCGCTGCGAGGATGGTCAGAATTTCGATGGCAAGAAGAACATGCCTGTTCTCTACCGTGCCAAGGACAGGAGGTTTCAGCAGCATGCCAACAACAACAGGGCACTGGAGATGGAGAGTCCTAGGATGCTGAGGTATGAGAACATGGTTGGAGTTAAGGGGTACATCTACTTCATGGCCAAGGACCAGAATGGCTGCCGGTTCCTGCAGCAGAAGTTTGAGGAAGGGAAACAACACGTGGATGTGATTTTCGAAGGAATCATTGACCACATGGCAGAGCTCATGATCAACTCGTTTGCCAACTATCTCATTCAGAAGCTTCTGAATGTGTGTGATGAGGATCAGAGGCTGAGGATCATCGCCGTGCTGACGGAGGATCCTGTGAAGCTGCTGAGAATCTCTGTGAACTCTCATGGGTAATTTACCTTCTCTTGCCTAAACTGATCAATTAACTGCACCATGATCCTGAAATTAGAAGTAATTTTACTTGCTAACCAATTGTCACAAATTATTACTGTATTTTGAGATTGCTGCAATTTGTGTTTGGATAAGGAAGTGCACTGGCAGTAGAAGTGTGAAATGATGCTTACATTGCAACATAAACCCCTTTTGTTACTAAATGCATGCAAATGATTGGTGATGATTTGGTTGTTGTGATTTGTTTCAGCACAAGGGCAGTTCAGAAATTGATAGAGACTGTTAAGGTCAGGAAGCAGATCGTGCTCATTATTTCGGCCCTACAGCCAGGCTTCATGCATCTTGTCAATGATCTCAATGGTAATCATGTCATACAGAAGTGCTTGTCAAACTTTGGTGCAGAGGAGAACAAGGTACATAATAGTACTTACATAGCTATTTTTGGCCATATAACTGACTTTGAGCAATTATTAGTTATCATTTTTTTGACAAATACACTCCATAAGTTTGAGAATCAGCACCATGACAATGAATTTATCAGCTATGTTCTGTGGACCTACCATGCAACCTGCACAATCTAGTGCAAATTAAATATTGAAGTACTTGAACCTACACATGTGCATAAACTCATAAGAAGTATGTTGGCTTGAATTTATAACACGTTGTTCCGTGTTTACTTACATTATGTAAATTTGCCGGCAGATGAACAAAAACTATACCTGTACATCAGTATGTGCATAATCTTAGAAGTTTATCTTTGAAAGAGTTTCATTAGCAGTTTATATGCGCTAGCCAATATTCAGGAGACTGTGTTTGCTGATTGTTATCTTAATTCCATAAGCATCACTGTATATACAAAAGGTACCTAGGACTTTGAGGTAGGTAGTACTAGGTCTTATTTTTATGTATCTGTGATACTTGGGATCTGGACGGCTAGGGATAACTAAAAAATGACCTGAATTTAAGTTAACAGATCGGGACATTAAAAAAATTCACGTCCTAAAATAATCCAAAACCTAATTGTGGTTATGCTTAACTAAATTACTAGTGTTTAGGTTCTCCAGTGGACTAATTTCTAGCATAATCATCCTAACGATGTTGGTTTGGTGTGACCCTTGAGCCCCCCCTCCCCCCCTTGTACTTGACTTTGATTATTATATCATGTGCATTCCTTTATTCTTCTGTTGTCTTTTACATATTTCTGAACGTACCTTGTGTTTAAGTTACCAGATCTTATTTGTATGTATGTGTTATACTTGGGGTCTGGACGACTAGGGAGACCTAAAATATGACCTGAATTTTTACCAGATCGGGACATTAAAAAAATCACGTCCTAAAATAATCCAAAACCTAATTGTGGTTATGCTTAACTAAATTACGAGTGTTTAGGTTCTCAGTGGACTAATTTATTGCATAATCATCTTAACGATGTTGGTTTGGTGTGACCCTTTGAGTCCCCCCCTCTCCTTGTACTCGACTATGATTATTATATCATGCATCCCTTTATTCTTCTATTGTCTTCTACATATTTCTGAACGTACCTTGTGTTGGAGAATAACCCGCAAGACTAATATCAGCAGGAATATTTGATTGATGCTAAGTTTTCTTTTAACATGGGAATATCTCGATCGTGAAGTTAATGTACCAGACCTTATACAAGTATATTCTGCACTTACATTATCCAATGGCAAATGCCAACGTATAGAAATTTATTTATGGAGCAAGTATGATCGCCTTACAAACTGTCAATAACTCAATGTCATTTTGAACGTCATATCTAGTGGTGAGCATGTTGGGTAAATTAGTAGTGTGTTATGGAATTCTTATGCAAGTGTATGAAGCTATGCAGTTATCTTGCTTGATTTGATTATATCGTTATCATCTGTGATGTATTTATTGATTTATTCTACTCTCTTTGGACAGTTCATATTTGAGGCTGCTGCAACTCACTGTTTTGAGATGGCAATGCATCGCCATGGCTGCTGTGTTTTACAAAAGTGCATAACTAGTGCACGTGGTGAATATCAGGCGAAGCTAATTGTGGAAGTGTGTGCTCATGCCTTTCAGCTCGCTCAAGATCCATTTGGGTAAACCCACCCTTCCTCTTTATTATCTTGTACTTTATGCTATTTATAAAGGAACATTCTTGCACTATGTCTTCCCAATTCTTTTGTGAAGCAGTTTTACTTGTCTGCTTACTTGTAGAGATCTTATCAGTGACATGTTATCAACACTAGATATATAGATTCATATTACTGGTGGATTTAATTAAAGGGAAGAATATCCAGCTTATACTGATAATACTTTTTTGATATTGTTGCTCGTTGCTCGCATTATATCATTAACTGATCTTTTGCTGGAGTAAGAGTTATCTTCACCTCCCTTCTCAGAAGAACCATATCTTCACACCATCAGCTTGATTAGCCCCTTGACCTTAAAAATCTTATTTTCCCATAGTTTCTGTTGCTCTAGATTCAACTCATTTTCAGGCGATAACATGTAACAGTAATTAGTCTTCACGGTCTGTGCATTTCACAGACAATACAATAAGGGTGCTGATAATGGAATGAACTGTGCCCTGATTACATGAACCCAACCTTTGTTGTAATACCTTCAATTCTTTTTTTCTTGCTCCCTTGTATAATCTGGGAGTTAGACATCCCCAACCAGATTTATCTTTTGGCAAGTAGTGAATGTATCTCCATCATGTGTTTCGTTTCTCTGTCATGAGATTAACTTGGTATTTTTCAAGCATGTGTTTGGCAACATGTAAACTATATTAACTCTGATAAAACTAAAGTTGTTTCCTATTTCCCCTTGTTTCAGCAATTATGTGGTACAGTATGTCCTGGACCAGAAAATTCCTTCTGCAAATGCACACCTGGCATCTCAGTTTGAAGGAAGTTATGTTTATCTCTCAAAGCAAAAAGTGAGCAGCAATGTGGTGGAGAAATGCCTGAAGGTCTTCTCAGATGAAGACAAAGCTGCCATAGTGTTTGACCTGATTTCAGTGCCTCATTTTGAACAACTGCTGCAAGACCCTTTTGCGAACTATGTCATTCATACTGCCCTTGTTAACAGCAGGGTGAGTGTTTCGATCCATATGATTTTTCAAAGTACGTCAAATTACAGCATGCATATTGCTCACTATCGTTTTTCCTTGACAGGGCCATCTCCATAATGCGCTGGTTGAAGCAATCCGCCCTCATGAAGAAGCCCTTCGGACCAGTCCCTGTTGTAAGAGAATCTCTAGAGCCATCTCTAGGAGGTGAAAGGTGTACAATCTGCAGCGCCAAAGAAATCTGTATTGTTGTCAATTTATGTTTCACTAGCTGTTTACTATGATGTATCTGCACACGGTCTTCTGAGTTCAGAAGGGTGGTTTTTGGCTGCAAGAAAGGTTCGACACATCGTCAACTTCTGTAGAATTTACCAGGTGTTGCCATCCGAGATGTACGTTTTGCTGGGCGCCTATTCCGATGGTGATGGTGTAGAGTTGTAAAGAAAAAACGTGTGCTTTCCGAGTTGTCTATTTTGTATCTGCTGTATCGTTTTCCTTTGGATTGTTGGACGGAGAATAATTAGTAATGGTGGACAAGTTGCTATAGTTGCTATATATTTTGGTCACTCCAACTTGCTTGAACTCTTCTCTCCAGTTTTGGTAATGAAATAATAGCTCATCATGATCATGTCTGTGGTATTACAGAAAATATATTGTAGTGCTCACCTGTTTTGCCTGTTACAGAAGGTATATATGGCGGGCGTTTCATTCAGTACAGTCGATATACTGTTGGACCAAAGCTGATTGATTATATGAGTATATCACAATTGAACGACTTAATACTATCAATGGTCTCTTACCTTGGTACAAATTGTTTCTTTGACGTAGCTTTTGGGCCATCGAAGTTCCTTTGAAGATCGTAATCTTTTAATCTTTTGATTGTCTTTTTCTAAGAGATGGTGTGCTTAGTAAGGATAATTTGACTAAAAGAAGCTTGTATTTTCATTGATAGCAAATTTGCTTGTTTTGCCTGGCGATAGCATACTTAGCTTGGATAAATTTGGTTACTAGGTTTAAGAGACAACCATTTCCAGGGCTAGTATGGCGCATTAGGCTGGTCATAGTGGGGAGTAACTTAGACTAGTAACATATGTATGTTACTAGTCTATGTTACTACCTTCATAGTGGGTAGTGTCATAGGTGTGGTAACATAGTTGCCTTCATTTATTACTTTGTAGACTCATTATGCATTGGAAACCGCTATGTGATGGTAACATATTATGTTACTCTATTTGCCTCTCTCCTCATTAACTACTTGCCACATCATCATTTTTGCTTATGTGGCATCTATGTTACTACCTATGTTACTCCCACTATGACCAGCCTTAGTCCTTGTGGACTGGTGGTGGGTGTGCTGAAATGATACTACAACGTGTGATAAAAAGTAACCAGGTAGATGCAGTGTAGATTCATTTCCAAGGTTTTCTTCTTGTGAACCAAACTGGTTTTTGATGTGGTCTTGACAGTTATCCTCGTGTGTACAAACTAGTTGTTTTTTGCGGTCTTTATTTTAAGATGTTTTTGCAGTTCAATTTAAACTACCAAAACGTCTTGCATTTAGAAACAGAGGTAGTACATGTACAAAGACTGAAAGTTTGAAAGGATTTCAAATATATCCAACTACAGACGCAAGATTTCAAATATAAACCCGAGACGATCACTAGAGCTAGGCTAGCCATTCCATCCGAGTGGCTTGATTCTGCCTCACAATCTTCTCCTCCCTTGCCCCTCGTTGCAATGCTGCTCCGTGGAGGCGTTTTGGTACTGGAGCAGCGGGGGCTGTCGGCTGTGGATGGCACAATGGTGGCGCCGCCACCGGTGCTGGCACCATCACGGCGTGGTAAGGTAAAGGTGGGCACGGGAGCATGGCCCCGAACGGAGCCATCCCTGCAGGCAGGAGCGGGACAGGTCCTCCGGCGGCGGGCGGCACCATGACGGCCGGCGCCGATGCCGTCGCCACGATGGGGTACAGGGCTTGTGTTGGCCTCACGTTCATTGCCTGGACCTGCTGCTGCAGCGACTTCATGTACTTGATCGTCTGCTCCAGCGTCGACTCCTGGTTAGTCTGCACAGCACAGAGAAATGTCCATGAGAGCGAGGTGCCTGCCATAAGAAACTTGCAGCTTCAGCTCACAAAACGCCATGAAGAAGAAGACTGGGCGATCAATTACAGTGAAATTCAGAAACCGGGCGAGCACCGAGTCTGAGCCGACCTTATCGCACCCAGGGACGAGCTGCTGCAGGGCCCTCAGCCGGTCACTGATCTTGCACCTTCGCCTCTGCACAGCCAAAATTTCACGGCGACGCGACGGTTCGTTCAAAATCGTATGCGCATGGGGATGGAGACGCGAGGCGATCGAGGAGGCGGCCAAAGCAGAGCACGTATTACCTTTTCCGGACTGCTGTGCGTCTCTGAGTGATGAGACGGCCTTGTCCTGTTTGGCCTTCCCGATGCTGACGCTGGTGCCGCTGCCGCCTTCCTCCTCCCGCTTGAATCGCTCCCCATGCTTGTGTCCTGACGATGATGATGGTGATGAGAGAGTCAAGCGGAGATACGAATTGCGTGCGCATGCTGGGCTAGATTAGCGCAGCCTCTGGCATCGGCATGATTGGTGCGTGCGCACGGCCGTTTTTATTGTCGCGCCGTTTCAGTGCTTGCAGAAAAGAGTTGAGTAAAATGGAGAACACAAGTTGGAAAAATATGTGAAAAAAACGAAAAACAAAATGCAAACTCCAAGATACTAGCATCCGGAGTCTGGCATCTTAGAATGAATGAGAGCCTAGGGGAGCCCCATCAGGACTAGAGCCCAGACGGGCGAGGCATAGACATGCTTCTCAAGCCACTTGAGATGTGCGCTGTTCTCCACCATGTGAAAATTATTTTGGGAAATTCAGTCCACTAGCTTGTTCGTTGGAAATTGCATGATGTTGTCCATATGCATGCTTGCGGAAACACGCAGATCAGACCACTAGGATAATCTGCATACATGTACTCCCTCCATTCCTAAATATTTGTCTTTCTAGAAATTTCAACAAGTGACTACATACGGAATAAAATGAGTGAATCTATACTTTAAAATATGTCTATATACATCCGTATGTGATGGTTCATTTGAAATCTCTAGAAAGGCAAATATTTAGAAACGAAGGGAGTACATGTTTTTAAAAGAGGAAGCATATTCGCACCTCGGAGGAACATCTCCAGACTCTGTTATAACATGACTTTCTTTCCTTCTTAAGTAACAGCCATAGCATGGGGCGCAGCGTTTTGGCTGTTGGGTGCATCTACACCCGAGGTGAACAGTCGTTTAAAATAGTAAAAGAAAAATCTAAATTTTGTTGTGATGCTAGATGCTCATGTGCGTGAAGTCCGTGCAAAATTTCGTAGAGTTTGGACATTTCAGTAGCTCTCAAAAAAAAGGACAAATTTTGGGATTGTAAGAAAGTTTACTGTTCACATACTGTTTTGACCAATTCAGTAACTCTCTGAGCAAGCTGAAAATTTGGCACGAACATCACGCATTGGAACATCTTCCACCTAAAAAAATTCAGAATTTTTTGAATTGTTTTAGTAATTTTTTTTTCAAATTTACCGTTCATCAGTTGCAAATGAGTCCGGACACTGAATTTCGTATTTCATTGTAAAAGAAATTCTTAGATTTTTAAATGTTTTTTTCAATTAGGATGCACCGAGTTCCATTGGGTATTTTCGATGCACATAGCAACTAAGAAAAACATGCATATAGTAATTGCGTACTTCCCCTGTCCGGAAAAACTTGTCCTTCAAATGAATGTATTTAGCACCAAGTTAATGCTAAATATATCCATGTAAGGTACAAGATTGAGATAAACTTTTTTGGACGGAGGAAGTACATGTGTTCTTGCCTTGACATCGGCCACGCCCTCCGTAGCTGGAAGCTTCCCCTTGCTCTCCGTGTCCATCGCCGACGGCTCGTTCTTCACCATCGGGCCGTTGCCGGCATTTTCGCCGCCGCTGACGATTGGGTGGTAGAGCCGCGCTGCCATCACGTCCTCGGAAGATGGCGGCTCAGGAGGCGCGCGCGGTGGCGAAGATCGGACGCAGGAAACAGCTGGCGCGCCTGCTTCCCACCCCGTCCCGAGCAGATATTCACTGCAAGAACACACACACACACACGTACAGGTAGGAGGATGAATCATGCATTGCGGAAGGACACAACCAAACCTAGCCACATGCATGCACGGAGCTGATGACCAACATGTCGAGGAAGTAGTCGTCGTCGTCGTCGCCGGCGGCGGCTCGTGCAACGGCCGCGACCTCGCCGGGGCAGTCGTCCTGGTACCACCATGGACCTGCAGCGGCTGGATCATGTCCGTCCATATTGCGCGCAACGTGAGAAGATCAATTAATGGTGTCCGTCTCTGTCACTGGAGTACTGTACAGCGTATGCAATGGCCAATGGGCCCTTTATATAGGGCGAGAATATTCAACCGTGGATACAATACAACTAACGTTGGCTCGGCAGCGCGCGCGCGCGCGCGCGTGTGTGTGAGAGAGAGAGAGAGAGGAGAGGAGATGTGGAGGGATATTGGCCGGAGCAACGGCCGACGTTGAAATGTCCACGTACGGAGGGAGACCGGCGTGGAACGGCGGGGCAAACAGGCCAGCTAGAAGACGGTGCATGAGGCTAGCTTAGCTGGAGGACGGCCGTCACCGGTGGAAGCTAGCAATAATACACTCCACTACTATACTATGTTCCACCGTACCGGCGGCGGCGGCGGCATGAACGGATAGACATTCGGGGAGAAGCTCTCTTTTAGGGCTTGTTTGGTTGCGCGGGTAGTGTACCCAGGGCAGCAAAGCCCCATCGGGAAGAATTTTCTTGGCAAGTGGGATCCCCTCCAACACACCGGAAAGATTTCAGTCTTATCCATGCAGTCATTTGGTAGCGGCAGGAGGCAGGGGAGCAGGGACGAGGCGGATGAGTGGAAGCGCATGGCGGCTGAGCTTTTTGTCGCGGCGAGGTGGGGAGAATTCTCCCTACATGAGGAGGCCGTGATTTCCTACCCAGGGAAAGGAGGTGGATCGGGGATAGAAAAGCCTCTGTCTGATGGCACCAAATGGGCCTACAGAAAAACCGGGCCGCAAGTTACTCGTTGTTTTCATGCCCAGGGAAAGGAAGGGGATCCCCCCGGGATCCCTTGCTACCAAATGACGCCTTAGATGTTGGA